TGACCGTGCATTCATACTATGTTTTTCATGTATTTGCCGTTTCAGTTAAAATTAAAAAATTGCCTTGATATTCAATCAATATTTCACCTTTGAAGTGAATATTTGTTGTGATGTTTTTTTTTTTGGAAAAAATAAAAAGGGAGATATTTTAGAAAAAAAACAACCTTTCAGGGTCATCTGTCATTGAGAAATGCATTAGTACTTTCATATGAAATAAGTATTTTAAGTTTAAAGTGAATATGTTTGAAATTAGCCGTAACTAAAAGGTTAATCAGAACGAAAACATCTAATAGACATAAGGGGAATAACTTAGCAAAATATAACTAGGATTATCTGCCTTTTGATATTGCATCATATGATCATAGTGAACAACTAAACCACGTTTAAAGTAAAATTCGGTAATTTCTGAGAAAATAAATGAAATGACTTAAACCAAATTCTGAGAGCGGCAATACCATAATACCTTTAATCTGTTGCCAATCAGGGTTACAAACAAAAATGTTAAACAAAAGAAAAATACTTATCTATTGAGAATTTAGTATCAATTATCCTTTCTAGCCTGAAGATAACATTATATAGCAGCTCAAAACCTCGATATTTAGGTTCATTAAAGAAACCAAGTAAGACAAAGATAATTTTTGTGTAATTGCAATTACAATTAAAATAACTATGAGAATGTTAAAAAGTAATATAATTCTACTTTGAAAATGATTTTAACATGAATTTACATCTTGCGACATTTAACGGTAGTGTTGCGACATTTAACGGTAAGGGAAATTCGTGCGACATTTAACGTTAACATTGCGACATTTAACGGCAAATGATTTTGCGACATTTAGCGGCGGTTGCGACATTTAGCGGCAATGGTGCGACATTTAACGGCAAGTGCGACATTTAGCGGCAATGGTGCGACATATAACGGCGCCACACGCCGTAAAACCAAACAAAAATCAACATTATTATCTTCCTATACATATTTACATATTTTCAGGATCTCAATAAAAGAAAGAGGGATGATAAGAAATCTCATTAATATACATTAATTACCCGGAATTTTATTTTATACCACCAGCTTGACCCATTAATAATATATTAATTTTTAAATAAGAATAGTTCCCTTGTGTCTACTACTAATCTTGACAAACGCTTAAATCACAAACCGTTTTGTTATAGCTATTTCTTGAGTTTGAAACATGCTAGTGCAATTTGATTGTTTCAGAGACTATTTATGACTCAACTTTGCCAGCTGTTATTAGAATTTTATTACCCTTCCAGATTTTTTCCGGCTTTTTGATTGGATATTGATCACCCGAAAGAAATTGATATAACCGAGCCAGACGGGTAATATACTGGTTTGGGAGATAAACTCGGCCAAAAATCGGTGTTTTGGGGGCATATTTCATTTATTTGTTTACGTATTCTGATGAATCTTGCACCATAATAAACTTCAGCTTCTTCGATTTTCCCCGGTATCACCTAAAAGTTATATTTAGAACATAACGGGTAATTTGTGTAGAGCCTGGAAGAGCGCTACGTAAAAAGGATATTCTTATTAATGGCGCGCGAGGTTAGATAATTCCGGCTCTTTGTCTTTTCTTTCTTAAACATAGAGTTAGTTTAAAAACGCATAAAAATAGCATGTTTAGACCATATCATATTATTTCTTTGCTCTGGTTCATTTATGCTAAAATACGAAAATCATTTGTTTACCAAATGTTGAGCCATTTACGTTAGGTATAATGTTATCTATGGACCAACACGACATTTACATGCAAACGTACTATGTAACATATAAATCATTTTTACGTAAAAAACACATGCATTAGCATTTATTAACGTATAACTAAATATGTAGTAAAAGAATTAGTGATTCAAATTTATTTTTGCTTAGCTTAACAGAGTGAAGAAGAAATTAATTTAGTGGTATTCAACCTACACATTAACATATAAAAGAAGCATTTAACATCAGTCTTTCAATCCATTCCACTTAAAGATTACAAATGTGTAATCAGCCTTTTTTCTTAGTTAGCAAGACAAAAGTGGGTCTAAATTTCATCTACAAAATGTATACGGTAGTCGGTCAATATATAAAAGTACCCCTGTGCGGGCCTCAAAATGAGCATCTGCTGCACATGCGCATAACAATGGGATTCCCGTACTTTTTATAGGCTTGTTTTGTAAACAAACAGGTAAATGTCTCTGTTACTTTTTAAATATCTTACCAAACTTGACAAAATTTCCAGATATTGTCGAATTCCAGCGATATTATGAGATCGTGAGCTTGATTAGGTTAAAAATTCCGATCACTCGATTTAATTATAAAAAGCCGAGTTTATCAACCAGCCGAAGTTATCTCCCCAACCAGTACACACTAAATTTCCCCGTTGGGTACCCAACGTTGTAAACAACATGCGCTGAGGTGATGCGCGTACGGTTCGATTTTACGCGGTGTAAATTCCGATTTAAAAGCACTTTTTAACTGTCAAATGATAAATATTTACCAAAGTAGAGTAATGTTCAGTATCGAAAACAAATATGACCTTGTGAAAGCTTGATATTAATTAATAAAAAGTGCGTTCAATAGACTACACCTTTTCTCTTGTTTACATTCGTTCGGTTCGGGAAAAATACGTCATGTATTTATGTGACGTCATGTTGTGACGAAGAGGTACCCTAAAGGGAATCTTATTTCGACGTTTCATTTGAAACAGCAGTGATTTTTTAAAAAAAATCGTCTAAACTCGGCAGGGGAAGGGTAATAAAATTATATTATAATAGTTCATATTCGCGGGTTTTAACCCTTTAAGACCGGAACTTTAACAACTGTAGATAAGTCAGGATAAGGATGATATTTTTCGGCCGAAGGCCGCCTGATTTCACCTTGACTTCCGCTAAAATTAACAGTAAAGAAATGAATATAGGCAGAATTTTCATTGGTCCTTTTAACACTAATAGCCTGTTCGATTGATCCTTTTGAAGAGCTTCCGTTGTAGGTAGAGGTCTGTTCGATTTCGCGATGGCAAAAAGTGTTGGAAAAAGATATATCTCAGAATAAATATAAAAATACAATGATATTTTCTAGATGTTTCTAACAGGTTTTCAATAAATATATTAAATTAAATATGACAGATCGCCTTTTTGATACTTTTGCGTTCGATTGGGTTTCTCTTCTAAGCTGTTCTAGTCATTATATTCTCTTCTCGAACCGGGCATAAGACGATTGAAACGAACTTTCGGCTAATTTACAGTTGCAAAATTCTCCGTGGAATTAGTGTATAGTATCTACTAAATCTTTGTTTTATTATAAATTCCTATTCAAACCAACTTCCATTTTGATTAAAATCAAATAATTTCAGTAATATTGTTTAAATCTAAGATGACAATTAATAGGGAAAAAACATTGCGGGTAAAAATGAACTGAAATAAAACTATTGAGGACGAATAAAATGTTCTGTTTGCGGTTAGCATAGTTAGTAGTAGCTTATCCTATGCAAGTTAACAAGTTTAACTTCGACCGGGTATCTTTTTAAAGATACTTCTTGTTTCTTTCTGCTCATAAATTCCATGTTCGTTTGACTACTATTTGCTTTGGCTACCATTTGCATTGCACGATAAATTCTGCTTTTTTAACAAAAGACTAGGTGGAGATTACTACGTTTTAGTTTTGTGATAGACATAATTATAAAAAGAGAGTTAAACTATTGGAATGAATTTACTTCACATACGAAACCAACTAGTATGGGACCAAATGTTCTGATAAAGGACTCTAAATAATTTCGAAGTTACTTAGTAAATCCAACAAAACAAATATACTTAAATGAATTTTAATTAAGTTTGTGTTTTTTTTTTTCCTTTTTCTTGAAAGTTCAACTAGCCTAAGACTCCTAAAAGCACACACCTTTGTAAAATTTAAACGTTGTAAAAATGAATGAATAAAAAAATGAAAACAGTGCTATTTTATTGTTAAAATGTAGTTTAGATACCAAAATTTACATTTCTCCTGATGGCAGGATTTAATTAAGATAACTTAAACTAATATACTAACGCATTAAAAAAAAGGGAAGCAATTCAGAAACGAATAGTTCGTTGATATACCACATGTTTATTACCATGATAAAAATGTTTTAAAGATGGTATAATGCATTTATGTTCTAATTTCATGCTGAAACAAAATGTATTCTCGTTAAAAGGTATTAAACATTATAAACAACAAAAATAGACATAGCTAAGATTGACCATTTGCTATGCTTCTTTGGAAACATTATTGTGAAGTTTGTTGCAAGTACAAGTATATAATAAAGAATAATATTGGCTAAATTACTACATACAGTAATATACTTTAGGGTAATGTTATGCCAGTATGGCAAGAACTATGTCAATATGCTATTTCGGCTGCCTTGCTACTTGACATTAAGTTTGCATAATGACCGAGTGAATTAGCGCACATACAAAATGTCGTTAAAGGTGTTTATATATGTTCAAAATACGTCTTGCCTAGGACTGAGGTAGTGTTCAGCTCTTATCATTGAGCTTGTGTCTTTACCATCGGTAAAAGAAGTATGACGTTGTTGAAGAGAGCCTTAACGTAGCGCCTCATGGAGATATGGTTCTTAAAAACGTAAATTATCTGTCGTAGTTGATGTCTAATTGTACCCTTTTTTATCATATAAATAAGGACACTATTTAACTCTTCTCTCCATATCAAAATCGTCCATACAACTATCCCTTGCATAGTGCCCTTTGTTTCCACATTTTTGACAAAATAGTGTATATGGAATAGTCTTTAGCCAATTGTTTTATATTTATTACCCATGACACGCCCCTCGAGATGTATTGCTGGAGAAAGGCTATGAATACTTTGCAATTGCTTTTTTAACTAAAATTGAAAATGATTAATACAATATGTTGCAGTCGTGTATATAGATAATATAAACATCACGATAGTCCAATGAAAATTGACGTTACAAACGGGCAGGATTATAATCATTAGCGAACAAGTTCCTTTCGAGTTTTTGTAATTTTCCATGTTATGTGTGGTATGGCTTTTATGAGTTTTCAATTATCTCGTAAGTATTTTAAAATGTTTCATGAAACTTATATTAATTACAAAGCTTTATATAAAATGTTATTATGGATAATAAAAATATTGATTAACAGTAAATGTAATCTTATTTGTATTTTATAAAAAAAAAATGGAACGAGTATTTTCATTTATATTTTATGACATATTTTACTTTACCACAAATTAAAATTAAAATATTGCAGAATGAATTATATAGTTGTTGACTAATAAAAATCTTTGTATTTTCTCTAAAAAATCTGCTCATTATTCTGATGCGATTTATTGTTTATAGTACTTAATGTTTTCGTTAACATACAAATCATTTAATAAAAGAAATTCTGTCACTACAAAGTTTAACCTATTCAAGGACAGAGCAGAATTCTTATTGAATTTGATTTTGATGTGTGTTTTTGTGTCCCCACTCTAGAGCGGTGTGGGTGGCATTTAGATTTGCCCTTGTCCGTTCATGCGACCGTCCGTCCGTTCCCATGTTGTGTCGCATGAACCTCTAAAAGTTGTGGTTTGCATAAAGATTTATTCAGTATTTTTTAAGTTATTGCCCTTAGTAAAAAATTGCATTTTTCAACTTGTGTCGCGCATAGCCAAAAAGGTATTTGATCTAGAGTCATGAAGCAAGCTTTACATACATTTTAATAAGCATGTGAAGTTGTGCATTTTAGGGATTGTGTGATATTTATTTAGTATTCTGTTATTGCCTTTGACTTAATAAAAACTTGCATTTTAAACTTGTGTCGAGCGTAACCGATCTTGAGTCATAAAATAAATGTTAATCAGCATGTGTATTTGTACGCCTGGGTTTTCGCGTGTGGATTTTTTCAGTTAGCATATGTAGTTGTGCACATGGGTTTACTTATGCATTTATTCAGTATTCAGTATTTGTAGAGTTATTGACCTTGACCTAATAAAATTTGCATTTTCAACAAATGTCATGCGTAGCCCAAAAAGGTACGCGACCTAGAATCATGCAACTTTACAAAGGTGTTGATTAGCATGTGAAGTTGTGCATGGGGGGGGGGGGTGCATATAGATAAATTCAGTCAGATGTCAGAGTTATTGCCCTAGACTTTATAGAAATTGACAATTTTCAACTTGTGTCACGCGTAGCCAAGAACAATTGATCAGCATGTTAAGTCGGAAATAGTTGGAAATAATCAAGAGATCAAGACTGAACAAAATGGATGTCGTTTTTATGCACCAACCAAGGGGTAGGGGACAGTCATGTAGAATTGCCTTTGTCTGCCCTTCTGTCAAACTGTCCTGTTGTACGTCAGTTGATAGTGGAGATTGGTGACATTCGTGTCCTACGGAAACATTTCTAGTTATATGTTTTCTTGTTCCAATAATATTAATATTAATTGTACTTTTTCGGTAATTTGAAGTTTTATTCTTAAATCACTTAAATAAGCAGTGATACAAATGTTTAAAAAATCAACATAGGACACAACCACTAGACCTATGTTTATTCTTCAATGTCATAAGAAACAACAGGAAACAAATTCAATCTTTGGAGTTTAAAACAACAGCTCTAGCGTTTAGAGACAGACATGTTCTGGTCTTTTGATACAAAGTATGTTGACACATGAACGCCGCGAAACATGACAAATATTTTTTTCTTGCATTTAATGCAACATTTATGTCGTTTCTTTTTGCGAATAAATCAAAAGAAAGGCATGTTATGTGAATTATTTCAAAATGTAAATTTTCTTATAATTAATAGGGCACTTTTACGTTTTGTTTATTTCTTTGGACATCGTGACACAATGAATTTAAGATAATAACAATTTTGGCTGACTGCCAAATACTATGTACTCTACAACAGCTTGTTAAAGGCCCATTTTGCCCCAGATCTGCTTTTATTATATTTCTTAAAAGTTTTTTTTTGTCCTTTAGTAATTTCAAAAATACTACTCAATCATCTGAACCATCGTATATTTTTGTTGTTTTGGCAATAAGTACAGTTATAGTGATTTGCTATTTTGTATAAAAGTCAAAATACTACTTTCAAATTGCTGGTTTTAGGGCCAAAAAGAACCCCACACATTTAAGGCTACTTTCTTCAGATAAGAAGCATCTAGCATGCTCTCTTAGCAAAGAAACCAAAGGTAATAAGCATCTAGCTTGCTGTAAACCATTATTTAATGATAATTTAACCCATTCTTAAGAAGTAAAAAAATATTCTTTTAAAAAGGCATAATGTGCTTTTAATTTCCATTTTTCTGTTAACTGACATACATGTATAACTATGTGTTGTAGAAGCTACCAGCCAGATGAAGATATTTAATCATTGATTGTGACTGATAAGCTACTATGTTTTTCTCTTATTATATTCTTTTGAATATTATAAGTTGCAGATAGATATTATCATCATGATGTTAGAGCGAGTTGTCCAGGTTGTTTTTGATTCTATGCGCAACAACAGCTGGCTTATCACAAAGTAGGTTTTACCATCTTAATTTAAATTAATAAACAGTCGTATAAAACAGTAATTATATTTTAAGTTTTGATCTCGTTTCGACCCGTAATAAAATAATGTGTGTTACAACGTGCAAAATTATATGCCATTGTTTAGTATAATAATTTTGTTACATTTATATCAGACGGATCAAAAGAATAGATATTGTACTATGCAAAGACATAAAGCCGGTGGTTCTACTCAGGTGCCCGTTTGTACCTGAAATAATGCGCGGGAGGGTACCTGAGGACCTGAGCCGGAATATTTCCATCTGTATTAAAAACACAATAACATCTCTACAAATTCTATTGTTTTTGTTTTATTTTTGCAGATTATTTGTTATCGCTAATATAAACTTCAATTGTAAATGACTATATTTTATTTTAGATAGAAGCAGATGTGAAATTATCCATTGTGTGAGCAGTTTGAATTTGTCTCGTGTAATTTGTAAAGGTAAAGATTACATCGGTAACGTGAGGTAAGATTATTTTAGGGCTTATCGTTGGGAGTATGCGGTGTGTGAAGTGGGATGGAGTTGAAGGGACGATGAAAAATATGTGATAAATGATTATTTTGTATAGTATATGGTGTTTATTGTTATTTATGATGTATTCAGAAGTTATTTGATGCTTGACAATTGTGTAAAATCGGTGAGAGGAATGGAATCTATTGTTGTGACATTTAAGATTAGGCTCTGTCTGGCAATTCTGGAAGTATACTGCAAAATTAGCGTTGTCACTTTTGGTTTGCTTAACTGGGCTATTTCAGACGGACTATTTTACTCAATTTAAATTATGCCCCGGGCTTATATTGACCGTGCGGTCCGTCCGCGTTCTTGTGGCGTGCGAGGTTCCTAACGCAGTTGGATTTTTCTTAAGTTCTACCTGTACCAATGGCTTCATAATTTACACACTTACTAATCCATACAAAGTATATGATCTGGGCAAGTTACATAACTATGGCTTTCATTTGCACCAAGTTGTGGCCCTTTTCAGCACTTAGAAAATGAATAATGGTTAACCTAAACCGGCAAGTTGGAAATATCTTATGTTCTATCTGAACTACTGGCTTAATAATTTTCACACTTACTTATCAATACAATGTACATGATATTGCCAAGTGCCATCCATTTTCCCAGTAATTTCCCTTTTATCACTTTGAAAATAGGGCCTTGTATGGTTAACCTATTCCGCCAAGTTGGATTTATCAAATATCACCTAATTACTTCATTTATTTAATGATTTCTTTAATATTTGGTAGGTGGATACCTTTAACGGTCCTCTAATTTTTTGTGGCGTTAGGCGTCTCTAGGTCAAGTCAAGGTCACTTGTGTAAAAAAATAAATCTAAACATTTCTGCTCATACAGCCTTATTTAAGTTAATGTCTTTCATGTTTATAATAGTCATACCAAGGGAGGTCCTCTTCCTTTTCCTTTAGTAAGGGGTCATTTGGGTCAAGGTCACCAATGTCAAAAATAGATTTTTTACACTTTTACAGGTGTATTAACCTTTATTCTATCGACAGATGTCTTGTATATTTGTAGGAACATAAAATTAAGGTATTCTCATTTGGATGGAGGTAGGGGTCAGTTGGGTCAAGGTCACCAGTGCTAAAAAAAGATTTTTACACTTTTGCTCATACAGCCTTTATTTATTGACAGATTTGTATTATAATTGGTAGGAAGATAACTTACTGGTATTCTTCCTTTGAATGGAGTTAGGGTCAGTTGGGTCAGGTCGACAGTGCTAAAAATTGATTTTTACACTTTTGTCCATACAGCCTTTATATATTGACAGATTTATTTCATATTTGGTAGGGAAAATAAGTTGCATGATAATTCTTCCTTTGGATGGAGTTAGGGGGTCAGTTGGTCAAGGTCACCAGTGCTAAAAAATAGATTTTTTACACTTTTGCCCATACAGCCTTTATTTTAAATATTGTTACTGACAAGAATCTGAGCCGGGGCATTTTGTGTTTAACAAACACGTTCTTGTTTTCAAGTTTTTACTTACTTTCACAGCTGTCTTTGAATTTTTTTGATATCTTTTTGAATCATCCATTTCAAAATAACAACTACGCCAAAAAACAACATTCAATAATTATCATTTATATAACTCAATTATAAAATGTGTTTTGTTAACACAAAATACTTAGATAATCCCAATATATCAAGAACGACGGAGTGAAAATAACTGACTCTTTAAGCTCACTCTTACAGATCATACTGAAAGGACCAGTCTTTACGTTGACTAAAAGTAAACGAAATTACAGGGTACTTTGGGACTGAGTAGTTTGTGTTGCTCTGTTTTTTATCTCGGGAGGTTGGTCAACGTGATCGCTGTTGTCTGCAATAACACATTGTTTCGTGATACATGCTTTTGAAATTCCATTGTGCGCATTTTTGAGATTGAAGGGGTTGATAACGAGTCACGTGCATTTCGCCGGGTTAAAAAATGGACGTTGTAAATTCGAAAGTTAATGTCAGTGATAAAGAACGATAGAATGGATAAATTTCCCATGAAGATTTATTGGATTACGTGATCCATTTCAAATATGGTAGAATTGGTAGAGTTATTCAGAAAAATGACCATGAGTTTGTGGTTAGGCGAGTTTACTGTGTCTCTTAGGGTAGTCCGCCAGATTTAGCTTTATGTCAGAGACCAATATTTAACGACGAAATTTCACCAGCGACCTTTTATTACAAATTCGATATTATCCCTAACAGTCGCTCCATAAGTTATATTATCTTTGATACATATTACATGTATTGTATCTCTAATCTAAATCATTTTGTTTAATATCCTTTCATTACTATACCATTATCTATAGACTGTTTCTGCTAATTTATCTATAACTGTTTCTACTAATTATTCTAATTTACGTTATCATCTATATAATATGTTTTACTCCTTCGTCAAACTATTTCAGCTTTTACAGCAACATTCCATCAGTTCCTGTATTCTCGGAGAAATTTGGAACATATGGTGCGCATGCGGTGGGTAAACAATGGATGCGCGGAACATTTTTTGATTTGCTATGGGCGTATGAGCAAACATCATCGTCTTCATGATTATTTCAAAGTGTTTCGTTAGACTAGATATAATTGTATTGAATATTCATGAAATATCTGAATTTCTGTTGTTTTATATGTTCCTAAATATAGATGTCTTATAGGCGTACAACAGAACTTTATTTTGTTGGCAAGCCGGCAAACACTAATTTGCGAGGTCAACACTTTTCCAAGCTTTTATACAAGTTACAACTTGCCATATAAGAGCTATGTGATCACTTTTGATGGCCAGTTAATCAAATCTTATTTCCTTTTGGCAAGGCCTCTAACTTATCAATAATATGAGCCGCGTCACAACAAAACCAACGTAATGCGTTTGCGACCAGCATGGATCCAGACCAGCCTGCGCATCAGCGCAGTCTGATCAGGATCCATGCTGTTCGCTTACAAACCCTATAACAAGTAGAGAAACTGATAACGAACATCATGGATCCTGATCAGACTGCACGGATGCGCAGGTTGGTCTTCATCCATGCTGGTCGCAAACGTGTGACGTTGGTTTTGTCATGGCGCGGCTCATATATCAATCATCATATAAAACAACAGCATTTAACTTCGGAAATCTTTAAAATACAAAATAAATGAATGTTGGAAAAATATTAATTCATCCTCTTGCAAGTCACTAAACGTCCCTTAAATACTGTATGAATGACTATAAATATTAAGTAACATTTAGCAAAACGTGAACTATAAGTCGGTCTTCATCTATTATGTTGCTATTTATGTAACAATGTTCAAAGGGATATTTTACATTCTTAAGTTTTGACAAACATTTAGGCTGTATGCATTTAATGTCGTTTTTATAGAACAAGATGTGTCTGGAAGTTTTTAATAATTACAAATGCAATGCATGTCCAAGTTTAGCTGTACTTTAAATTCTATTTATCCTCTCATGTCATAATAACTGATGTTTTAGTCTTCAAATTATTATAAATACGCCTAATTTTCAGTTAACTTTGGACTTTGACTTTAAAGGTACTCCACTGAGTTTTTTTGACATGGTGGGACTGAAAATATTTTTTTCCAGATAAATGTACCAATTGATGTAGGTGTAGACCACTTATCTTTGTGCAAAATTTAAGATCATTCACGCACTTCGTTTTTTTTTTTTTCAGAATAATTATTCAAATTGTAAAAAAGTGACCCAAAATGAAAAACGTTTAAACACTTTTCACTCAAATCGGGCTAAGAAAAGCATAAAAATACGATTTTCAATTTATTTCAAAGTATATTTCTTAACTATCTTTCCATATATTAAAGGCCCCAGCTTATTTGTGTAAAAAAATTCAAATGTTATGTTTTAGGCTTTTAAACCTCTGTGGAGTCCCTTTAATATCACGAAAACAAAAAGATAAAAGAATCTTATTTCATAAGAAAATAAAACTGAAACTATGAACATGTATTTGTATCATTTGTATCATTTTTATAATAAAAGAGATGTTACCTTGGATGGTTATAAGATAAATGCTAAAATATGCATATCTACCGAAATGATAACAAATGATTATATACTTATATTCCTACAGTCATATGTTTTGCTTTCATAGAACTCCGAGAAATTGGTTTCTGTACTATTAATTAATATGAGCTGCGTCACGACAAAACCAACATAGTGCGTTTGCAACGAGCATGGATCCAGAACAGCCTGCGCATCCGCGCAGTCTGATCAGGATCCATGCTGTTCGCTGTCAGTTTCTCCACTTGTAACAGAGTTTGTAAGCGAACAGCATGGATCCTGATCAGACTGTGTGGATGCGCAGGCTGGTCTGGATCCATGCTGGTTGCAAACCCACTATGTTGGTTTTGTCGTGACGCGGCTCATATTATGATTGATTAATTTACAAGAGTGAGACATCCATTGCATGTATCATTCTTTGTAGTAAGTCAGAAGACTGATTCGTCTTCCCAGTAGACACAAAGGAAAATACTACAATGTATTTTTATATCATTTTATCTAGTATATGTTACAGTAAAAGTTTATATGAAACTAAAATTTCTAGATAATTCATGAAACACCAAAAGCAAGATTAAATAAAATAACCTTTTTGTGAACAACAAAGTTTCACTATTCTTTACTGACCAATTTTTATTTTAAATCATTGATATCAATCATTGCTTGACAAATAAATTCATTATGAAATGTTTGAGGAAAAAATATCAGACTTCACATGAATAAATTAGTATTAAATTCAGAAAATAGAAAGCCAAAATAAAAGTAAAGCAAAATGTAATAATATGCAAAGAACAAAGAATAAGCACAATGATATATTATGGATGGCATGCAATAGCAATTTATAAACTCCTCGGCTATTATCCTTTGGACCTTTGACATAACTACTTTCAGTCACATGCTAAAATTGTGGCCTCCATGTTCCACCTTTGTCGCAAAAGTGATGGGAATA